ACACGCCCTCTAGTGGATTTGTCATCTAAAACCACCGGGCCGCCAACCGGTACCAGTCTATGGATCAAAAGGTAGCGGGCCACACAAGAAATCATTACTTATTTCCGTTTTATTTATTATCTTAGTCTGAACAATCTTTTATTTTGAAAAGTTTTTTATTTTGAAAAATGGCCATATTCTCTCAGTTACATCTTGGTCACCTGAGCGCACAAATTTAACCCAAAAGCAGCAAAAATAGTAAGAAATAGATGTCTTTGAAAAGTTTCTTTGCTAAATGCCCAGTGAATGACTAGCGAACTGCCAAGGAATAGATCCGCAACCCTTTAGACAACAAATCGGGTGAATCCAGCATTTCTGTGCACAAGCAAGGGAGTAGATATGGCATGGACAGAGGGGACGTGTCCCCACCAATATCCACCAATTACTGAAATGTCCCTACCAAGAAATTTAATCGAGTTCAAAATAAAATAATTCTTCATCAACCCTTAGTAACCTACATGTGCACAAAGTCAAGTTCTCTACAGGTTCACCGTGACACTATTAATCAAGTTTCGATTTAGGCCTCCATGATAATGAAAAACAATAATCTGGATAAAACAAGTTAAATTGTGCCACACACATATCTAAATTATCATTCATGCCTCCTGAAAGCCAGAATTTGTGCTGTTCAATGCATGCGCTAGGACTGTATGTCCCCACCAATGTCAAAAGCAAATCTACTCCCTTGGCAAGAAGATCAACTGCTGGAGATTGCAAATGATGGGGGCCTTTTAGGGGCAGATCGCATATTGCATCTTTTCTAGAGTTTGCATACAGTAAGTTCATTGTTTCCAATGGAGGTGCGCACACCAGCAGCGTGATGCACTCGCGTCTTTCAGACGTACGCAGTTGAATGAATCTCGTGAGCACACAATGAGTGATGTGACAAGAATTGAGCTTATATATAAATCAGCTTATCATGCTCTGAGAAAACGTTTGATGGTCGTCTAGCAGCCTACAACCAACAAAACCCCCCAAATTGTCAAGCGTTGACCGGTCAGCGGTGATAAAATGGTTGAGGACCACTAATCTGAAACGTGCAATGAAACGCGCTAAGAGCAACATATCTTGTGTTTCGCAAATGTAGGCAAATGTTTTAATCCACAAATCTACCAAAATCCACTGAAGTATTTACAGTTTATTTTTCTTAAATAGCCAAAAGCGCATCGAACTGAAGTGCCACCCACATAGAGTATGGTTTACATGAGGACAAAAACAAAACACAAGGATGAAAAAGAAGAAGCTCTAGGATTGATTTAAATAGTATCCAGACGGAAAACAAAATGTTAAGAGAACTAACCAATGAAATTGAACTTTAAAAACGGCATTATGTCATTCTCTGAGAGCATCTATTTATTTTGCGGCTTCCACAGTAGCACATCCTGCTCAGGCCGATTAAATGTATCATGCTTTTCAGCTCTTAAGAAGCATATTAGGATGACACAAGCTCCTCTCAGCTGTTCCTCTAATGGTTTGGCCATAATTACAGAAGGTATGGCGATCTGCCCGAGAGCCCCACGTGTACACTTCCTGATGGCCGTTTTGGCACACTGACCGGAGTATTTGACATCCGCCGGTGTTGTTTGATGTCTCACATTCAGATAATGTGCCCTAATGAAGAAACTTCAGCAAATGCAGTGAGAAAATGACCCGCTGTGTCGGATTAGTACTGCGTCATCACTAATTTCAATACAGTGGCCACATTTCCCTCGCCCACTGTCGTGACTTGGCCTAATGCCTATCTTGAAAGGCTCTCTACAGACAGAAGGAAAATGGACATTTATGAATCTTCAAACAACATGGGAGGTTTAATGGCTTAGGTAAAGTTATCTAGCACTAATGATGTTTAAAATCAAGCATGTGGAGTACAGTTTAGGGACTGTTCAGCCAAATAATTATGATTTCTGACTAAAAACGTCTTGTATTAATTGCTTTTTCATGCCAGTGTGTGAACAGCTTGAAATTCAACTTTAAACGTAGAATCTGTTTTTTATGAACTATTTGCCTGAAAAATCAAAAGTATGTGAGAGCATGTCTTTTATTTTCTAGTAGTTTTGAAAACATGTACTTTTACTTTCCCTTGAGTACATTTTTAGTGCTGTATAGGTACTTTTACTCCACTACTTTCCTTTAGCCTATAGTCACTACTTTATTTTATGTTGTCTGTGGTAGACCAGATCGCACAAAGAGGGTAAATCGCATCACAATGAATTACCTCAAGACATAGGCGATTTAAATTTGCAGCAAACTGTTTGGAAGCATTAAAGGTGTCCAAGAAAATGTCCAAAATCTTCACACGCAATAACTCAGAGAAGGCGTTGCATTTTGTTGTCCTACCTAAAATCAGCCAAATATCAACATTGATGTTACAGCTTGACATTGTGTGGATGTTACCACTTTGACGTCTATCAGATGTTGGGTTTCGGTTGCCATCATGAATAAATATCAGTATTTGACGTCAAAATGTTGGTTTAAGATGTTGGCTTAATGTTGGATTTTGGTCACTTTCAAACACAACCTAAAATCAACCAAATATCAATATCATTTGATGTCATTTTTGAACATCAAAATATCATTGTCTTTAGCTTCTGGCTAAATATTGAATTGTGGTCGCCTGACATCACAAAGTAAATCTAAGCCAATATTAATGTCTTATGACATTGTGTGCCTGCTAAGCAATAACTAAAAGCACTACAGAATGTTACGTTTACACACATCCACAAATTACATGTAAATGCATCAGCTTTTTACAGCATAATACTTACTACTCTTGAGTATTTTTAAAAGGGTTACTTTTTACTTATGCTTTGAGTAATATTTACAACAGATACTTTTACTCTACTTGCGCTACATTTTTAGGCAAGTAATGGTACTTTTACTTAAGTATGATTTTTCAGTACTCTTTCCACCACTGTCTGCACTATACTGTCAATGTGTAATGCACACAGTAAAGGATTCAAACTATACTCTCACATAGCCAATCTGTAAAATTTCAAACTACCATAAAAGTGTCATTTCAAAATATCCAAATTAGGGCTGCCCGATATTGGAAAAATCTATTTTATTTTTTATTTTTCTGCGATAAATATTGAGTTATGAATACAGTTTTACAAGATGTTTGAATAGCTCTATTTGACATTTCTATGGGGAGTCTATTGGTATTCAAGTACAGAAATAAAAAATATCACAATGCAAAAAAACAATGCTTTTCTTACTTTGGTTTGTCTCAATTCTAGTCTAAATATCCGACTACTTATTTTAAGACTTATTTTAAGTAAAAATATTGTTTTGTTTTCAACTTCAGAAAAAAAAGTCAGAATTAAGGGGGTTTCTTTAAAACAAAGCACAATTATCTGAAAATGGGGTGAATAAAATAATCTTATTTTCACTGTGAAATGTAGATATTTGGACTAGAAACAAGACAAAAACTTCCAAGTAAGAAAAAACTTATTTTTTTCAGATAAATTGTGTAAATACATCTTTGTTGTACCTTCAAACATCATTTTTTTTTCATCCAAATATCTTACACGTAGTCACAGGCCTTAAAAACACAAGCTAATGATAACCATTCACTCTACAGAATATGGTTAAGCAGTGACTTTACAAGCTCCAGGTCAACTATAATTCTGACTATTGTGAATGTACCTATTGTGAATGTGCACATTGCAAAATCGATGCTGAAACGATATATCGTGCAGCTCTAATCACTATGGCCAAAAGCTTTCTTAAAAAGTCACATTTTTGTTTTGTTTATAATTGTTGCTTCAATATAAATGGTTATAAATTAAAACTGGAAACAACTTGTTAGTTTAAAGCCTTAGGCAAAGATATCTACCAACAATTATGTTTAAAAAATGAAAAAAATTAAGATTCTTACTGTTTATTATTCTTACTGCTTACCTTGTGTTTTTCCAAAGATGCAGAACTAAAAAATAGGCTTTCAATATAAACCACAAGCCAAATAAGCCACTTTTGTAATGCTGATTTGTTATTATGTAACATTTTATTAAATATGAATGTTTTAAAGTGCTTAACTCTTTAAAATGATGTGCTTTTTGAATGAAGGATAAAATAAAAGAGGTCTGGAATCATATGTAGGTGATTAAATAATGCAAAAAAAAAAAATCCAAAAATAGCATGAAATGTTTATTTTAAGGAACATCTTTGACTTTGATGGCAACCTTATTATACATTTTTGGATCATTACTGTTTGTGGAAGTTGGAAAGGGAAGAATTTACATGATTATACCAACTTTTACAGCTATTTTCAGAGTATGCTGTTAAATGCTACAACAATCACCACCTTGCCACCAAAAACAACATAGATTTAGCCTTAACATTCCCTTGTTTATATAAAGGAGTAAACACAAATATTTAAATACAAGCAAATGCTGTAGCTGCCACACCTTTACCCATTCTTACAATTAAAGATTAAAATCAACCCATCACACCATAATTCTCAATTCACATATGAAAACAAGACCTCAACCTACAAATATTACATTTCACGATAGTCTAGTTGAAAACGCACCTTTCATTTTTTACCAAGCAAGCGGTAAACACTGTCATAAACCTCTAAAAATAGATGCAATAAATCATACCGGTCTCTAAATGCATGCCTTGCCTCAAACTGGCGTCTGTTGGAGGCAACTGCATTGGTGAGCAGGGAAGCAGGATAAGTGCTCAACCAAACGAGTCCATAAAACAGCCTCGTGCACATGCAAACATTATTCAAATCTCACCCCTCCAGTAGTGCCACGAAATTAAGCCTTTAAAGCCAGAGGCAGGGAATTGCAGTGGAAGAAGTAATCAATGAACAGTTAAATAGAGCAAAACCCTTTTCCAGGCGCACAAAGAAGCGTGGTAGGTGATGCTGCTTACAGACTCACAGACAAACCCGTTTCAGTTCTTTCCCCAACTTTTCCTTTCAAACGACTCGAATTGGACGTTTCAATACTCACGATTTAACAGGTGAGCGTTTCCTTTGGCGTTATTTCCTTGCTAGTTTAAAGATATATCTGCTTTCCGTCGCCGCGTTCCGCCTCTCCGCCCCGCGTTGCAACTGCTGACGACGACGCCGAGTTTCTTCTTTCCAGCACCAGCGCGCTTTGAACAGCTCCGCTGACGTCACTGCCCGCGAAGCCCAACGACGCCACGCCTTTAAAATAACAGCCGGAGACCCCACCCGACACACACACACACACACACACACGCTAGTGGTTGGCAATTTTGATTCGAATATGAGAATATAAGATTTGTTTCAGTGACTGTATCTGATAGACCATTTCAATGTGATAATTTCATTGGTCCATGAACATTTCCTGCTTGTTATCAAACTATTTCATAACTGTAACAAGAGGCAATTCAATCATAACTTCAAAACAGCTATTATGACATTATTTATCAATATGTGGCTCTTTTTGGATTCTCAGAAGCTGTATAAATAAAAAAATTTACAACATGAAACATATTGGGACTATAGTTTTTGTTTACATCCCTCAAAATGGTCATATGTAGGTCTATTGGAAATTATCCACACTTAAAAAAATTCATTGGTTTTACTTCTTTTTTAGGGTAAGTGTTTGCAAACAATGTCTATTTGGGCTGAATATAAACAAACATATTAAATTTAGTGATGCTCAACTTAATTTGCTTGTTTAAATTTAGCCCATACAAATTGTTTGCAACCATTTACCTCCAAAATTGTTGTCATTGCATTGTGCTAGCTAGTAGAACTGTTGTACAAATATCAATTTCTTTGATATTTACAAGTATGATTTAAATAGTTGTGGTAACCTATAAACACTCCAAAAAAATGTTGTTTGCTGTTTGATCAAACTACTTTTTAAAAATTAGCTGAAACAATACAATTTTTGAGTTTTTTTTTTTAATGTTTATCATGTTTATTAAATGATAAACATAAACATTCACAGCAAAAGAAAATCAAATTTGTTTATTATGTATGTGGGTCACAGCTATATGCAGTCTACCACTCTATATGCTGGGACTGATTTGTGGCTGTAAAAGAAATTACAATTTTAATGCCTGTATAGACAAACACCATTCACACCATGATGTTTCTTTTTTTCTTTTATTTTTTTATAAATGTGTTGCAAATATTCCACCTGCCACTATTTAAACTTTAAAGTTGTGAGGACTCTGATTGGCCAATCAAGTTTATTTATTAATTCATCATTTGAAAAATATTGTGGTGGCATTGAAAACATGGCTAGTGTTCATTAAATTTCATTTGGACTGCACCTTCATACTACAGTTACAGTATGTCATAAAGCAAATGAAGTACTTTCTACAGTATGCACATTAATACAGTGAATGATATCATAAGATGAGGACTGCCAAAGAATTAGAATTACTGACAAAACAAATCCTCATATACGTGACTGTTAAATGCTTCATTCTGGTTAGCTGATTCTGATCTGCTTTTCAGGCAAATCTAAAGAAAGGCACAGCAATAAGGAAATTAAGGACCGGGTTTGACTGCATTACAGTTCCATATCACTGAATCATCATACATGCTGAAAGATTAATTTTTTTTCACACCATACAAGTTAATAAAATCTAAATACTATTTTAAAAAGTTCTGAATTATATAAATAGAATATCCACCATCAGATAGGAGAATTACATATTAAGGTTCTCTTCAAGTTGTTACAAAAAAAGAGAAATCTCCAAAGTTCTGGAAAGGTTGTTTTGATTATCCAAAAAAAAAAATAATAATAATAATAATAATAATAAATCAAAAATAAATAAAAATGGCAGATAACAATCCCAGATGATTCTTATTTGGTTCCTAAAAAAATAACATAAAGGGAACCAAATGAGGACCAAAATGTTGATGATATGGAATAATCTGTATGTTTATGTTTTTTTTATTTGTTGTTTCTTTGTAATTATGCAAGGTTAACTGCTAATTTATACCAGTATATGTTGCTACTGGAGTTTGAGTTGATTCCCCATTTACGTTGCATGTTTTATTCATTATTGCTCACTAACATGCTCCTAAACTTACTGTATAATACATTTGCTAAGTTCATTCGGAAGTAGACTGGATGTTTGCATGTCGCCTAGCTATAATGCTTTTACGCTTCACCAGATTGCACTCAAGAGTTTCAAGCCACTTCTAGTGTGAACTGAGACATATAGGCATACTTATTAATATTTCATTTCAGATTCTTTTCTCACTTATTTAGTCAAGAACACTGTTCTTTCATCATTACCTGAACCAAATTTAATAATTTATTTCAATGAAGATATCATGTTTGACCATTTCTTTAAAAGAGTTACAGCGACTTTTAATTTTAGTTTTTTCACACATAAAAAGCAACTATTTAGGGGTATTTTAAATTACGCCATTCATTCTTATTCATTTTCTTTTCGGCTTTGTCCTTTTATTATCAGGGGTCACCACAGTGGAATGAACCGCCAACTTATCCATGTTTTATGCAGCGGATGCCCAGCTACAACCCAGCACTGGGAAACTTATCAAGTTACCTATAATAAATATTAATTAATATACTCGTTCACAAGCTTGCCTAATAACACGCTTACCCTTCACAATGGATAGAATCAGTTGAAATGATTCGTTCACTTACAAGATTCATTCACCAACGAAACATATCTTCGTTGCTGTTTGTGAACATTTTCACGGAACTTTCTTTTTATAAATAGTGAATGGTAACAGAGACTCATTACGCCCAAAAGCCCACTAGGATTTATGCCATGTGTATTAATATATTTTTCATAGTGGATAAAGTTTAGTTTACCACCACGAGGGAAAGAAACCGCCGCGCTCTAACATCATCCGTGATCATCGCTTGTTCATTATTGGGGACTCCAAGTCCCAGGAGACACCGCGATTGATTTCCAGCTCAGCCGTTACCATAGTTACATTCACTGTCCAAGTGCCTAACAGCACAGTGAAGTGAGCGCAGCCAAGTTTGCGAAGGAAGGTGCGAAACTGACAACGTTTCTGAAGCGAGTATAAGAGGTATTTAGCTTATTAATATATTTAAAGAAAGGCATTTGGATATTTGTTGAAGATAGTTTGTGTTTACCTCTAACAAACGGGGTTAGTTGTCTCATTCAGTTAATATTAAAACAGGTTGTTTTGTTTTTGAACGTCAACATAGCCTATGTGCGTTACACGAAATCTAAGTGTAGAGAAAGGAAAAATATGGTGCAATATTGCAGTAAGTTGTCACAATTAATGGTCACATAATGTCATTTTAATATGTTTTTTTAAAACTGCAATAAAACAGCATTTATGAAAAGGACTTTCCTGAGAGGGATTCAACTGAATATTTGGTGTTAACGTTATTTTACATACGTAACTATAATAGCTTATTTTCATTAATAGTATAACGGTATATTTATTTCAGTGTTATTACCATGATTAGTATTGATGTTATTTTATTTTATCAGCTTTGTATTTGTTTATCTGGCATCTTTTATATCTTGTAGGATAAGTTAGGGCTTAAAGCAAAATAAATAAAGAAAAACATTTAAAAAAATACATAACAGGACTTGGCAGTTAGAGGTCATTTTGTTTATTTATTTATTTATTTATTTATTTATTTATTTATTTATTTATTTATTTATTTATTTATTTATTATTATTAAAATGAAGAACAATAGTCCGTAGCTGAATACATTAATAAATTATCATTGACAATGAACATAAATAAAGAGGTAAAACACAAAACATACTGTAATGAATACCAAAGTTCCAGCGAAATATCTTTATACATGAATCATCTATGATGTCTTAGAGCCATAATTATGTTTGTATTTTAGTACACATAAGCGGCAGTTTCTCAGTTCAGATGAAAAGCATAGCCTATATGACAGGGTCTAAAATTGACAGTCGAGTTTAAGTATCTCTTCCAAAATTATGTGTAAAATAAGCAAGATTATGAAAACCAAGCATAGCAAAAATAGACAGTATTGGCACCTTTCCACAGCATAATATGAAATTGTTTTTCACAATGACAAAGTTGTAAATAGAACTGTTATTTAACCTCTAAATAACCAATTATTTAGAGAGTAGTTGTTTGTTTAAGCTCTAGAAAATCAGTGCTGTGACAGCTTAAAAAACTAAAACAAGAGTTCTTTAGGACTTTAAATAAAATTATTACTGTTTTTAAAGAACAATCTTATTATAGAATGTACAAAACTTTCTTATAGCAGTGTCAAGTACCATAATGTTTCATTTCCTTTATGTTTTATAACACTGCACTTTTCTTAGTTGATCTACATTGAAAGATGGAGGGATGCGTGGTTCGTCTTCACGGAGTTATGTTCAATGGTTTAAATACTCAACTCATCATAATCAACTTCAACCAACTCTTCAAAACTAGAGATGCTCCTGCAATTCTGCCTACGGTAGACAGACACTTTTCTTATTTTATTTTCAACAAACGGAATTATTTGACACACTATAGTAAATATTTTCCACAGATTTCCACAGAACAAGGAATTTTTCACAGTATTTCTTGTAATATTTTTTCTTCTGTAGAAAGTCTTATTTGTTTTATTTTAAAAGCAGTTTTAAATTTTTTAGACTATTTTAAGGACAATATTATTATTCCACTTATGCAATATTTATTTTAAATTGTCTTCAGAAAAAAACATTGTTATACAATGAAAAAATATATACTGTACAGGAGGGCTAATAATTCTGACTTCAAGTGTATGCGACATGGCATCTAAGTCTGGAGAAAGAAAAAATATAGTAATTTTATTTCCCCACAAATTTGTGACATACCTCTAAACCCTCCCATTTTTTTTTCTGTATTTCTCCCTCATTTGTGATTTTTCTATGAAAACTAAAAGTATCATCAAAGAGCCGATCTCAATATAATTGCCAGAGCTGTTCAAGAGAATTATGATTTCGCTTTATATTGGCTTGAAAGCATGTTTAAATTATTATTAAAATGCATTTAGTTCATTTCGATTAAAGCTGTGTCGGCCATCGCCCTTCACAACCACTGAATCATTCAATTCATGTAATGGTGCTGACTGACAGACGCGCCCCGCTGTGATAAAGAATGTTCTTCCAAAATTAGCGTGTGTGTGCAATTTAAAAAAAAGCGCAAAAATGGACACTTTGGGATTTTTAAACAGAAAAAAAACACTTAATAATATGCAAACATGTCCGTCTTGGCATGTTTTATTTTAAACCCAAACTATTTGTCTTAAATGAGCATTAAATGTTAAGGAAGTAATTGAATGCTTTCATTAGATCTGTAGATTCTTAAAGCGACACCTCTGTTATCAAACAAAACAGTGGATTAAAATAAGAGATTCGCTGCTTTTCACTAAATAACAACAGTAGCCTAACTTTAATCGATATTTAAATACAGTGAATAAACTTTTAATAGGCTAAACCTTTTATTTTATTTTCAGTATTCTCTAATGTTTGCTATGTATTCTATCATTTGATAGAATATACAATTTAACTGCTCTGAACAAAGATTAAGGAGTTTGTTGTCATTTTGGGTTGATGTAAGTTGTTTTTGTATGTTTGGGGGGGAGGTAGGTATGATTTGTGACAAAAATGTGGTAGTAATTTGTCACAATGGTAATGTAATGATTTTGAACCTTTGTTTTCAGCAAAAGTAATTCTATTTTTTTAAAACTGCAATATGAAACAGCATTTATGAAAAACAAGGTAATTGTGACAACAAGTGATATATATTTATATATATATATATATATATATATATATATATATATATATATATATATATATATATATATATATATATATATATATATATTCTTAATGGTACAAGCGTAATAATAATAGCTTATTTTCTTTAACTGTATAACAGTATGGTATACAAACACTTTTTTATTTTATGTTAAATGTCTTACCAAATAACTAGATTAACAGCACTTATATGTAAATCCAATATAATGTTTGTTTTCCACACAGGTTATCATTTATAATTAAGTGGGATAATTATAACTGTAATTATAGGTTCACATTATAATTATAACTGGGTGGGATACCCAACTGTAGGGGGTCTGTAAACATAATATGCACTGAGATGGAAATACAGGTCACAAGCATCCCTCCACAATACAAATATAAAAAGGCATTTGCTGTGTTTTCTTTTGCTTTATATCTTCATGTTGGTGCTATTATAACAGGCTGTCGGCGTGGTATCAAGAAGTATTGAAGGTTGATAAATCAATGTAGAGAAATTTAAGGCTCTTAAAAGTATTAAAAAGTCCTAAATAATTTTTTGTAATGTATTAAATTTGATATCATTTTGCAATACATATGCAATGTATGGTTGTATGCTGAAGTTTGCCTGGATTAAATCTGCGGATATCAGGATGCTGTGTAGTTAATGAAATGAATGAATTCCTACTAAATTTGACATCATGCTGCTTTGTTTACTGCAGCAACCAAGGCAACAGCATTATTTCTGCAGTTCTAAATAAGCCAACCTCCTGAACTAGCTATATTTAATAGATTTTATTCAGTAAATGAATAATGTTTTAGTTTTTGATTAGTTTCTTTACATTAATATTTAGTAAATACTCTGTAAGTTAAAATCTCGCCAGTGTTTCCAGTTGAAACTTAAAATGGTTTTAAGGTCTTAAAATGTATGGAAAAACTTTTTTTAAATGGTCTTAAAAAGTATTGAATCACACTCTCTGATTCCTGTACATACTCTATATAAATCTGGAAAGGTTTTACCTTTGGTTCATCTCCAAATAGTTGTAGTTTTTACAGTATGTCTAATAATATTTTGTCTTCCGGAGAAAGTCTTGTTTGTTTTATTTCGGCTAGAATAAAAGCTGTTTTTATTTTGTAAAGGCAGTTCATTCTGCTGTGGCAACCCCAGAATAATAAAGTGACTAAGTCGAAAAGAAAATGAATGAATGAATGAATTCTGTAAAAAAAAAAATCATTTAAGGTCAAAATTATTAGCCCTTTTAAGCTATATACTTTTTTTATTGTCTACACAACAAACAATCGTTATACAATAACTTGCCTAATTACCCTAACCTGCCTAGTTAACCTAATTGACCTAGTTAAGCCTTTAAATTTCACTTTAAGCTGTACAGAAGTGTCTTAAAAATATCTAGTCAAATATTATTTTGTGTTCTCATGGCAAAGATCAAATAAATCAGTTATTAGAAATTTTATAATTAGGTTTTAGATTCCAAACTTCAAGTTCTTGTAATTAGAGTAAACTACTTTTAACATTTTATTAGCACAAAGATTTTTTCTCAATTAAGTAATTCTCTGTATTTTTATTAATTTCATTTTTTTTTCTTATAATTACCCTTCTACTACATGTTTGTGATTATTTTTGGTGTAGCGGTGGCGCAATGGGTTGCACGATTGCCTCACAGCAAGAAGTTCGCTGGTTTGAGCCTCTGCCTGGTCAATTGGCATTTTCTGTGTGGAGTTTGCATGTTCTCCCAGTGTTCGCGCGGGTTTCCTCCGGGTGCTCCGGTTTTCTCCACAAGTCCAAAGACATGTGATATAGGTGAATTGGATATGCTAAAATTGGCCGTAGTGTATGTGTGGGAATGAGTGTGTATGAATGTTTCCCAGTGATGGGTTGCAGCTGGAAGGGCATCCGCTGCTTAAAACATATGCTGGATAAGTTGGCAGTTCATTCAGCCGTGGTGACCCCAGAATAATAAAGGGAATAAGCCGAAAAGAAAAAGAATGAATAAATGTTTTTGAAAGAGGTTATATGACTTTGATATTACCATATGCACTTAGTGTTTTTATGAGTGAATATTGGATGCACTGTAGCAGTGATATTTGATCTATTAATAATATTTTTTTGAGTTGCTCTTTTCTAGATTGACTTAATTTTTAAGCATATATTTAAAATCATATCATGTCATTTTGTCATATCATATCATGTCATTGTTTTTTGGTGTTACTATCAGCAAACACAAACAGAAATATTTTTTAGTGTTAGTATTCTGACTGTACTGCTGCTCATTCATTGTAATTTAAAATGAATATTTATTTCTTTGTATCTGTCAAAATAGTATAAGATTATCTCTAATAAATATTTCAAAAACAGAGTTAACACAACAGGGCGAAGCAGTAGTGCAGTAGGTAGTGCTGTTGCCTCACAGCAAAAAGGTCGCTGGGTTGCTAGTTCGAGCCTCTGCTTAGTTGGTGTTTCTTTATGGAGTTTGCATGTTCTCCCTGCATTCGCATGGGCTTCCTCTGGGTGCTCTGGTTTCCCCCACTGTCCAAAGACATGTGGTACAGGTGAATTGGGTAGGCTAAATTGTCCATAGTGTATGAGTGTGTGTGTGTAAATGTGTGTGTGGATGTTTCCCAGAGATAGGTTGTGGCTGGAAGAGCATCCGCTGCATAAAAACTTGCAGCATAAGTTTGTGGTTCATTCTGCTGTGGTGACCCTGGATTAATAAAGTGACTAAGCTGACAAGAAAATTAATGAGTTAACACAAAAGTAATGCAACTGTAAATCAAAAGTAGTCTGATTACATAGCCATAAATGTGTAAGATATATGTATATGTATATAAGATATGTATATATATATATATATATACAATCAGTAATATATTACAATTCTAGGTCTCTTCACTAGCATATCACCACAGTTACTTAATGGTATTTATACAGATGTACAGTACTTTGAGTGTAAATCCTCACTCTCACCTCTTTTGCCATTGGATTCTTTTTTCACTTAGATTGTTGCAATACATCTTTGGATTACAATTTTTACATTTATAATTGGCCAAAAAAAGATATCTTAGTAGGCCTCATAATTAAGGCGTGCATTTTGCTAGAGTCTTTGCATCAGGATTGCCTTAAAATGCCCCTCCATAGGCAGCTTGTTTGGTTTTGGAATGGCATGAATGTGCAAAATTGCCTCATACACGCCCATACACTTACTCGCACCCACACTCTAATTCATTTCCATCCCACTTAGCCTCTCTTATTGTCTTGCTTGCCCTCCCCTCATTGATGTTTATTGATTATTGAGCTCTGCATTCCACTTCCTTTCCGCATGTTAACTCCATTCTTGTTTTTGAAATATTATCCTGCCTTTTATTGCTCTTAGTCCACAAAATATGAAATAATTGAGCCAGCGCGACCAGGAATATAGGTCACATTTCAGCCTCCACTAGTGTTGTCCAGGAACTCCCAGTCTTAATTGAATGGATTTTTTTTCCAGCCAGAGCTTTGCAAACACTGGTGTGGGGGGTTGGCGTCACGCTGCAGACAAAAATCCTCCTGCTGCTCTTTTCTATAACCTAAGGCAGATGCTCTGACTTTTTTGGTGCTGCAATACACACATGTATACAATGGAGATCAAAATTAGAGAATAATTTGTAAGCGCTTGATCATTTCAGGGCTAATGTGATCTACATCATTTAAAATGTAAAGGAATTTTGGTTGTGACTAATGCTGTACTGTAAGAACAGTTTTTGAAATATCCAATTTTGTGGAAAATATAGGGAAAAAACCAAAAGGGTTTTACCACTTCTGGCCCTAAGAACAGTCAGGCATGGTTCCTTCCTGGTTCCTGCTGTATTCCTGCTATTTCCATGTAAGTCTGGTACAGCACAGCAATATTACAAACTATTCTCTGCCCAGAATTCTACTCACAGTTAAAAAACTGTGCTGAACCTTTTAGTAGAGTGTTATATTCTCCTCTTTGTTGTTTGGTTACCGATTCTCCACAAGTGAAAGAGCACTGACTGTACCAGAATGGCCTGAAATAAATTCTTTAAGCAAAAAGAACCATTTGGCCTGATAGTGGAAAAGCACCTTTTAGAGAACATCAATTAATGTAGCATGAAGGGTGATGACAACACATAGTAAGTGTTCTTTTTTCAAATGTGTGACCCTGGAACACAAAACCAGTCTTACTGTTTGTTGCATGGGTGTGTTTTTCACAATAGTCAAAAGTACATTGTATGGGTCAAAATTATTTATTCATTCATTAATTGTCCTTCGGCTTAGTCCCTTTATTGATCAGGGGTCACCACGGCAGAATGAACCGCCAACTTGTCCAGCACATGTTTTACACAGCGGATGCCCTTCCAGCTGCAAAACATCCATACACACTTATACAACACGGTCAATTTAGTTTATTTAATTCACCTATACACTGTAAAAAATAAAAAGTTGAGTTGCCCTAAAATTTTAAAGCAAGTTTGTTAAGCTTCAGTGGTTGACGTTGAGCCAAATTATTTTTTTAAGTTGAATGAAAAAGCTGGTTTAGGTCAAGTATACTCTACTGAATAATTTGCCACAACTTCAACAACCGAAGCTTAATAAACTCAAAATTTCTTTGCAGCCAGTTGCTTTAAAATGATAAGTCAACTCAACTATTTTTTTACAGTGTATAGGTGAATTTAATATGAGCACTGTGTCACCCGTCAAAATTATATTTTTTAATTTTATGTCAAAAATCATTAGAGTATTGAATAAAGATTATCAAAACACTTAGTCAATTTTCAATTGTAAATGTATCATAACTCATATTTTGATTAGTAATATACAATGATAAGAATTTAATTTGTACAACTTTAAAGGTAATTTTCTCAGTATTTAGATTTTTTGAACCCTCAATCCCAGATTTTCACAAAGTTGTTTCTCAGCCAAACCATACCTCATCTAAGAAAAAATAACACTTATGATTGGTTTTGTGGTTCAGGGTCTATATATGTTTACATAAAGGATAATCATTCTGTATTTTATTAAACTAAATCGTAATTAACAATGAACATGTGATTTTGATCCAAACTGAATATAAGGTGGATTAATTGTTCATTTTAATTAATTTTAGATATCTTACTTATTTTCCTAATTGAATTCAATGTAAATTTAAATTCATATCATTTAACCACGCATATTATAACCAGGACATTTTAAACTTAATTGAATATAAAAAGATGGCAAAATATATGAATAATTAAAAACTTACTAATATACCATAAAATATTAGCAAGACGCCATTTTTGGATGGATTTTAAAACACATATAATTATCTCCAAATATTATAATCATAGAAGTATTATTCTATAAATATTATTCTGTAAATATGTCCAAAAAAAAATTTTATTAGCAATGTACATAACTAAGACTTTAATTTGTCTAGAAACTAAAAAGAAATTTTCTTCTCAAATAGTTATGTCTCAAACAAATATTGTCCTCTGCTCCAAAACAAACCATACCTCATCTAAGAGAAAATGACACTTAAATTGGTTTTGTGGTGCAGGGTCAAATGTATAATTTAGATCATGTAGTTCTTCATAACATGGGTAACTCATAAAATGTGCTTAGAAACTGATCTTTTACTGCCATTAGCTTATCTTCAAATAGAACTAAACTTGACATTTAAGAATGTAGGTTCTTTAATATTGATCTCATGTCGTTTGTTCAATTACGTGTGCTCAGCGATCTCTCTGGTTCTTTCAGATAAAGAACGAGGATGTTGCTCGTGCTGTGGTGGCTCTATTGGACATGTCCTTGCCTGATGTCGGCCCTAAAGATATTCACGCAACAGTGCATTACCCTGGGGTACATACTATCATTATGACACGAGACCATGATGGTATGTAATTCACCTTGTTTAAGCAAAAGAGCATAAAATATGCTAGAGACAGAAAATCCAACGTGATTCCATCAGGCTGTTTTATTCTGGCTTCTCTTTACAGATGCTTTAGTGGAATATACTGGAAGACCATTCCGAAAAAAGGAGGCAACACTGAGCCCAGTGCCCCGTGAAACATCTAACAGTGTTGATCCCACACATAAGCTGCTTTCTGAGCTATACAGCGACTCTGAGGAAAGTTCAGAGGAGGAAAGTTCAGAGGAGATGTTAGCAGAAGAAGCAAGTAGCAGGTCAGTTTTCCAAAGACCAACTCTATAGTCTAAAGTTTATTTCAAGTGTACTTTACGTAGTTCAGCACACAGCAAGTATACTACATTGCTTGTGCACGCTAGAAAGATTTATCTCTTTTAAAATTATGAAACAAAATGACATATCTTTTAATTGTCACCCACAGGATTTTTGTTGTCTTCAGTAGCATGTTTATTATTGTTTTGTCTAATAATAAAACAATAGAACATACAAAAACAACCACTGAGGTTGTAAAAAGTCATATAGTGAGCAGACAGTATGTGCAAACTATTCTGGTGTTGATATTTGCGGCACAGCCACTGCACACATACCTTGTTGTGAATGCATAAAAACTGAAGAATGCCTTGGGCTTATAAAGTGTAGCCACATCTGCACAAAACATGAATTTTCATTGACAAAATCCAGTCATATAAATAGGAATCCATTTTATTTTGTTCTACCTTGTATTTAAATATTTTAAATATATTCAAATTGTGTATTTTTGTGTATATTTAATATAAATACATTTTATTTTAGTAACTTGTTTTCTTTATGGATTGAAATATGTAGCTTATTTTATTAAAACCCAACAGTCATCTTTATCAAATGAAATAAATGTAGTTAACTCAAAAGTTAACTAAGTTAATTCTACTCATTTGAAAAGAGTTTTAAAGTCAGTGTTGAGGTTAATGAGTTAATTAAATAACTCATTACTTTAACTTAAATTAATGAAGTTCACAGTACTCATTAGGATTAGGTTTTTTAACTCAAATGGTTTGTAGCAATCAGTTTCCTCAAACGGTTTGAGTTACCTTAACTTATTGGGTTTTACAGTACTCAATTGATTTGAGTTCTCTTCATTTATTGGGTTTTGCTGTGCTCAACTGCTTCGTTTACTCAAATGTATTAAGTTCACAGTACTCATTAGGATCAGTTTTGGAGCTTAATTGGTTTGTTGCAATCGGTTTCCTGAAATGATTTAAGTTACCTTAACTTTGAGTATTACAATGTATTCAATTTAGGGCTGAATAATATATTGTTTTAGCAATGTTATCGCAATGTGCACATTCACAATAGTCACATCAATAGATCTGCATTGTGGAGTCATAATTATACTTGACCAGGAGAAACAGAACGTATTTGATTTGTAGAGTTAAACCACAAAAGAGTTAAAATCGATCATTTTTTAAGCGTTTAAAGGCTTGTTATTGTTAGCATTTCAAGAGAATTTAAAACAGGACAAACTCATTCATGGAGGGCTGATGTCCTGCATATTTTAGTTCCAAACCCAATTAAACACACCTGAACCAGCTAACCAAGCTCTTTCTAGGTATTCTAGAAACTTCCAGGGAGTTGTGTTGAAGGAAGCTGGAGCTAAACTATGCAGGACATCGGCCCTCCAGGACCAAGTTTGGACACCCCTTTTTTTAAAACATTTGGGCACAGAAAATTGCAAAAAAAAATTACACACACAAAAAACACTTTTGTTTCTTAGAATTTTTGTCTTCTAGTCAAAATATTTTAAAAAAATTAAACTGAAAACAAGATTATTTGCTGATTATTTTGCTTGTTTTAAAGAAAAATTCACTAAATTTTGTCTTTTGAAAGTGAAAGCAATAGTTTTACTTGATTTAAATAGTTATTAAATATATTTATATGTACATATTTGGTCGAGAAATGAAGCAAAAACTAAATTTAGAAAAGCCTTTTTTGCAGATTGATTATTCAATTTGTGTACTTGAAAACTGTTAAGCCTGATTTATACTTTTGCCTGGCACCATGTCACGGGCCTCCGCTTACCGAGCATGCACTTCACAAAACAGATGAGGCTTCTATACTTGACGTGTTCGCTATTAAGATCTTCGTTAAAATGACAGGAACTGAAACTGACAATTAAATCAGACGGATAAACAGAGAAGAAGAAAGTTCCTGGAACTACACCATATCATTAATATTATTGAAGATTTTTAAACTAATTGTTTTTATTATTTTTATAAAATATTTTAATGATTATAAAGATAATGTTTTATGTATGATTATGTAATTATGTTTACATGTAATTATGCTTTATTTTAATAAACCAACTTAGAATAATAAAAACTATCAATAAACAAGAGATTTTTAACCTAACTAAATATAAGGTGAAATTAATATGTTTCTTATGTAGGTATTTTTATTACTGTTTTTATTCATTTTCTTGTCAGCTTAGTCCCTTTATTAATCCAGGGTCGCCACAGCGCAATGAACCGCCAACTTATCCAGAAAGTTTTTACGCAGCGGATGCCCTTCTAGCCGCAACCCATCTCTGGGAAACATCCACACATACATTCATAAACACACTCATGCACTATGGACAATTTAGCCAACCCAATTCACCTGTACCACATGTCTTTGGACTGTGGGGGAAACCGGAGCACCCGGAGGAAACCCACGCAATGGCAGGGAGAACATGCAAACTCCACACAGAAATGCCAACTAAGCCGAGGTTCGAACCAGCGACCTTCTTGCTGTGAGGCGACAGCACTACCTACTGCGCCACTACCTCGCCATTACTATTTTTAATAAACTTGAATGAATTAATATATATTTTAATACATTTAATTTAATACTTATTTTATAATCATGACAATTTAAACAATCAAATATAAAAGACTTATAAAATTTAATATATATTAATAATTACTTATATTAATTAATTAAAATAAAAATTTTAATTCTAACAAATCTTAAAATTTTCATATTTCCATACGTAATTCTTTAATCAATTTTAAAATAAACATAGTTATCTCCAAATATTATAATCATAGAAGTATTATTCCATGCCAGTACAACCATTTCAGGGACAGACGTATCCTATTATGGTTAATTAGTGTGACAATGTTTGTGCATGGTTTGACAGATCATTCTTTTAAAAACTGTACTAAATTGCTGCCCCGATTCAGTCAAGTCTTTAGGCAACTGTTCCAATAATTAAAAAACAAAAATGCAAAAGTGTATGCAAAGTATGTACGAACCTGTCCTTTTTTTTAGATGGTCTTGGGGGAAATTTAAAGAAGGCCTGCAGGAGCTCGTGGACGGAGCGAGGAATAGAAAGAAAAGAAGAGAAATACGTGGAGAGGATGGAAAGATTCCAACATCCGCCGTTGGAGTGGAATCTCTGATCGTTGCTGCTGCTTGCTACGAACTCAAGACACTGTAAGTACAAGTACAAGCACTGATTCAATCAGACAGCTGTGAAAAAGCCATATAATACTATTCTGTGAAAGAAAACACTAATGCTTTCAAATAAGATACTTTACTTCTGTAGCTTATAACTTCATAGGGCATAAGTCGTTGTCAGTCCCATTTTATAATCTGTTTTTGCAATACAGAGGAAGTTTCAAAGACAATGGATAATACACAATTAGTATTTTTAGCTAACTTTCTTGGATGTTGTTTTCCACGGGAACGTTGACATTTAGATGATAAGCAATATTTTCATATTGACATTATGGGTTTAGCAGTTTAATATGTAGTTTTTAATTAATTTGATGTTGGTAGTTTAAACAATTCCTAATATTTTTAGTTCTTTATTTTTACATATAATTAAAGACTTCTATATTCATAACAATTTAATGTAATTTTAATATAATATAGAGCTTAATATTTATACATTTTATTCATTTATAATATTACTTTAGCATTTTATGTAATTACATAATTATAAATATATATAATTATGTATATATATATATATATATATATATATATATATATATATATATATATATATATACATTAATTATTTGTTTTCAATATATAAAAGTTATGATTTAGTACAATTTATCAATATAAAATATTGATTATCAAAACAACAATTTATATATTTTTGATTATAAAATAGAATTTAATTGGAATTTAAATGGTTTAATTTATTAATCATTTTTAAATATAACAAAGTTACTTATTTTCACAATAAACAAGACATTTTAACTCTAGTATTATATATTTATTATCTATTTAAATATATTTTATTTAAAATAAAAATCCTTGGTTGTGATGAAATGCATCAGTTTCCAAATGTATTGTGACAGCCTTCTTACTTTCCCCCTTGCCTTTTCCATTAAAAGGAATCTAACAGAATATTTTCCATGCAAACTCGTCTTTTACCTACAATCCACAAGTCAAACAAGAACAAGCGCCCAACTGTCCTTCCCCTGTAGCCTCAGTCAGCATTTCAGCCCTTTACGAGTGGATTCCTTCCAGGTTTCCAAAAAGACTTTATTTATATCATCAAACTGAAACAAGCCTTGTCATTATGAGATCCCACTGAATGGCGTCGCTCCACCCTGAGTCTATTTCCAGGCCAAAGGGGCTGAGGAGCGGTGAAACCTGCCCTGCCCTGCTGGCTGTGGGCTGTTATTACCCCTCAATGAGAGACTATGGCCTCCTCTGCTTCTCCTTTCCCTCTTCTGCACTCTGTATTTGTGCCAATGGCTTCCACATGGCCTGTGGTTTGGTTTAACCTCGAATGTCTGCCACACACATACAGACTCGTACTATAGAGTCATTCTGGATGTATTTTAGAAATGCAAAAGGGATGCACAATGTTATTAAAAAGGAACACAGCTGTTTGAAATGTAAACATCAGCACGATATGGAAAATTATAATGATAATACTGGATGCGTGCTGAAAGATTAGATCTTTAAAATGAGTGTGACATCAAACATGAGGATAAAGAAATACTAGATTTAATGATTTTGCTCATATAGTGTGTACTGTGCTAATGTGCTACTGTGCAATGTGGCAAAAACGTTGTAGATGATAAGAAGAAATTGCAAAGATAGTATTTTGACACATAAATCAACAAGCTGATCCACTATCACTGCCATCCAAATCTTTTTTTTTTTTGCTGCACAATTACGACATTTCCTATGCTTCCCTTTTCTGTCAGCTCACTTTGGATATTGTTTAGTTTACATGATAATCTTCAGATCGAATTCAACATGTTAGATATTTATAGTTTGCAAAGACAATTCGTCATTCCTCAAGCAGATTTATTCACTCTAAGGGGTTGTTCGTTCAAAAAATTAAATTTTGTAATTATTACTAAACTTTATGGTATTCCAAACCCCTCAGGCCTTTGTTTATCTTTGGACAGGAAATAAGATATTTTAGATGAAATCTGAGAGCTCTTTCACCCTCCATAGACAGCCATGATCCCAACTTATTTACTTCAAAATCCAGAAAAATACCAAAAATACTCAGAAAAGACTATACACGACTTGACAAAAGTCTTGTTGTCAAGATTCCGGTTGTAAGAGCAACAAATCTTCGAGTTGATCATTTGTAAAAGTGGCAGAAGGTAGATTTTTTTGATCAAACATCTGTTGGACTGCGTCCCAATTATCAAAAAATACTGCAGAAGACATATTGGAACCTGCATGGACCCATGATTCTAACATAAATTAGTCAAGTTTGGTGAAGGAAAATGGTGGTTTGGGGTTACATTCAGTATAGGGGCGTGTGAGAGATCTGCAGAATGGATGGCAACATCAACAGCCTGAGGTACAAAGACATTTGTGCTGCCCATTACATTACAAACCACAGGAGAGGGCAAACTCTTCAGCAGGATAGCGCTCCTTCTCATACTTAAGCCTCTTCAGGATTGGCCAGCCCAGTCACCAGACATGAACATTATTGAGACGGTCAGAGGTGAGATGGAGGAGGAGGAATTTTAGATGATTCCAAAGAACTTTTGAGTCCTGCAAGAACGCTTTTTTTGCCATTCCAGATGACTTTATTAATAAGTTATTTGAGTCATTGCAGACATGTATGGATGTAGTCGTCCAAGCTCATGGGAGTCATACACAATATTAATTATTTTACAACTGCACCATGACTTTATAATCTATGCTGTACATCATTTCTGTTAAGTGACAAGACATTTGTTTAAACAAAAGTCAGACCTTACTGTCCTAATTAAATAATTAAAAATCAAGGCATGATCATACTTATTTGGATAAAATAAGCCACTTCATAAGCCTTTCAAATAAGCCACTTCCGATACCAAATGATCAACTAGAAGTCAAGTTTGTTGTTGGATAGAATAGGCGACAAGACTTTGTCAGACATTAAATGCCTTCAGTGGTTCAATGAGAATATTTTTAAGCAAGAAGAATACTTTTGTGAGCACAAAAAACGAAAATAACCACTTTTATTCAACATTTTCTTTTTCTCAGTGTCAGTATAGAGTGGGCATTAATGAGCACTATACACTGATTTATACCCTGGGTGCCTGTGCGAGAATTCCTCTGTTTGAAATAAAGCACAGGCGCATCAGAGGAAGAGCATAAACAGCACAGAGACCTTGTGAATGTGCCCCCTATACTGACATTGAGGAAATCAGCTTAGAATCAGACCTATTATCTTGTGGTGAATATCAAGCTTAAGAAGATGTGTACAGTATGAGCCAGCAATAACTTGATTGCCTGCACAGTGCTAGCTGCAAGATTAGCAGTCTGCTCATTTCTGAAGTGAATATTTGACTGTATTGCGATTTAAAATACAGTTTTGAAATTGGCAACTTGAAACTGCAAAAGTGGAGGCGGCCATATTTGCAACACCTCCAGCCTGTTCATCCAAGTCCAAGTCCAATCTAAATAAATGGGGGAACACTAAAATCTCAAAAACGGCTCACGGAACTTAAAATTAGATATTGAAAATCAGCAAAAACCGTTATTCCACATGCACAAAGATGGGCACGTATTTCATGACACCAGTCTCTCCCTTACAAATTGTAATCAGAGGACGCAGAGTGGAATAACAAAAGACAAAACCCAGAGCAAAGACTGCAGGACAATATTTGAAGGACATGATATGCAATGGTTTCTGCCAGCAGCCACCAGTCATACACTGCTTCATTCAGTATCTGCTCTGTTTATCCCTTTTCTTTACAGTATCATTCCCAAGCAGTCTCCGAAATTAGCCTGAATGCTAAGAAATTTGATTTGATCCGGAGCTAATAAAGCAGTTTTGGTCACACTCTACAATATGGTTGTATTAGTTAATGTTAGCTAATGTATTTACTAACATGAACTAATAATGAACAATACTTGTACATCATTGATTCATCGTAGTTCAAAATGTACTAATACATTACTAATATACAATTTCATGCTTGTTAACATTAGTTAACTATGAATTAACTAACAATGAACAACTCTATTTTCATAACCTAATGTTAACAAACATGAATAAATACTGTAATAAATATTGTTATTTATATATAAGTACTGTTTATTATTTGTTTATTTGTTCATTTTAGTAAGTGCATTAACTAATACAATCTTATTGTAAAGTGTTACCACAGTTTTAATAATAGTAATAATTTAATTTACATGATTAAAGTTTAAAGTAAAAAAAAAAATTAAGTTAGATCTCATTCATTTTCTTTTCAGCTTAGCCACAGTGGAATGAACCACCAACTTATCCAGCACATTTTTACGCAGCGGATGCCCTTCCAGCCACAACCCATCTCTGGGAAACATCCATACACACTCATTGACACTCATACACTTCGGACAATTTAGCTTACCCAATTCACCTGTACCACATGTCTTTAGACTGCGGTGGAAACCGGAGCAGAGGAAACCCATGTGAACAAAGGGAGAACATGCAAACTCCACACAGAAAGACCAACTGACCCATCAGAGGCTCAAACCAGCTGTGAGGCGACAGCACTACCAACTGTGCCACTGCGTTGCCCCTAAATTAGATCTGTTTAGGTAGTAAGCATACAGTATATTGGTGTCAGAAAAGCACAAGTCTGATTTGATTTATTGGAAGAAAGTCTCTGCTTATGGGTAAATAAAATAGTAAACACTTGTAAAAAAAAAAAAAAAAAAAAAAAAAAAAAAGAATTCAGCCAAAATTATTGAAAAAAAATCACCTTGAATCCAATATTGTGCATCTCTCATGTAATGTAAATTAACCAAGCAATATGGTGATCTAATGAAGACAATGTTATATAATGATATGAGTATTGTGTTTTTGTTTATGATATTGTAGGTTTACAGGAAACAAAGTGCTTCAGCTGTCTCTTTTGGCTGTTAGGAAAAACTACCGGCACCAGGGGATTGGCAGCTACATCGTACAGGTAAACGAAAACAAAAGTTACTCCTGTAATAGAATGGCACATCATTGCTTCATTGGCTGTACAAATGACTTAAAGGGACAGTTCACCCAAAAATGAAAATGTATTCACAATTCACTCACCCTCGTTATAAACCCTTATGCGTATATATTTTTTTCTGTTGAACACAAAAAACAATATTTCCAAAATGTTGGAAACCAGTAACCTCTGACATCCATAGACAAAGTAGTCAGTGGTTTTCAGTTTCCAACATTTATTCAAAAGTTTTTTGTGTTCATTGGAATCTCAAGCAGGTTTGAAACAAGTAGAGGACGAGTAAATGACAATTTTCATTTTTGGGTGAACTATCCCTTTAAGGTGCATATTCATGAACACAACCTGGCAGTTAGAATTTTTTCATGTACACTGCCCTCTACTGTTTGCACATAATACTGCTATCACTGCTAAATAACTCAGTGCTTCAGTTTGACTGTTGTTTCTTCTACTTTTTCAGCTTCTGAAGTCTCAGTCTGTAGTAGGACAGTATGACACACTTGTCGCCCACGCTGACACCGATACAACAGCATTCTTCAATAGCAACGGGTTCTCTGACGACCTCATGCTCAACGACATGTTCAAGTACTGACAATGCCATCTCATATTACATGTTGTGCTGTTACACATATGTTTAAATGTAAAATATAAAATCACACCTAAATGATGGTCTTGACACACAAATCACATTCCCTTAGACATATCTCTTGGCTTTAGAGTTTATACACATATACACTCATCGGCCACTTTATTAGGTACAGTACACCTTATGCCGAGTTCAGACTGCGTGATTTTAGCCCAGATTTTGACTCGCCGACAAGTTTTGTGAAATCACCGACAAATGCCTGAAATCACAGACAAATCGGTGCTCATGCACGTGAGTGACAATCACACAGTATGAACCATCAAAAACGCGATCTGAGAGAATCGCAGATGAGTCGCGATGCCTGTGAGATAATTGGCGTGCTAAATAGCTGGAGCTGTCGGCGATTCAAATCATGCTGTGTGAAATGAGTTTTGACTGAAAATAACATCAGCGATTGCCTACAGCCAATGAGAGAGCAGCTTTCACTTGCGTGTGTACCTGAAGCCCAGCGGAAGGTGATGCAAACCTCCCGTTTCAACACATCCCAAAGGTGCTCTATTGGATTGATATCTGGTGGTCGTGGAGGCCATTGAGTACAGTGAACTCATTGTCATGTTCAGGAAACCAGTCTGAGATGATTCACGCTTTATGACATGGTGCATTATCCTGCTGGAAGTAGCCATCTAAAGATGGGTACACTGTGGTCATAGAGGGATGGACATGGTCAACAGCAATTCTAAGGTAGGCAGTGGCGTTGACAAGATGCTCAATTGGTACTAATGGGCCCTAAAGTGTGCCAAGAAAATATCCCGCACACCATCACCACCAGACTAAACCGATGATACAAGGCAGGATGGATCCATGTTTTCATGGTGTTGATGCCAAATTCTGACCCTACCATCCAAATGTCGCAGAAATCGAGACTCATCATACCAAACCAAGCAAAATTTTTTCAATTTTCCAATTTTGGTGAGCCTGTGTGAATTGTAGCCTCAGTTTCCTGTTCTTAGCTGACAGGAGAGGCACCCAGTGTGGTCTTCTGCTTCTGTAGCCCATCCGCTTTAAGGTTGGATGTGTTGTGTGTTCAGAGATGCTCTTCTTATTTAAATTATTTTGGGAGTACCAAGACTAAAACCTTAAAATATGAAATAAAAAATATATATTTTTAACTTTTATTTAATGTTTAAAATGCAAATACAATTAGATTAACTTTCTTTGGTAAATAAAGCAATTTTGTCATATAATATATCTAGTAAAATATTATTGTACAAACTACATTTTACATAAATCAGATGAACATTTTCATATTAGTCATAAATATTCCTGAAATTAATTTAAAAAACTGAATAAATATAGATTTACACACATTTACTCAAGTAAATAAACAGATTTAAAGATGGGCTAGAAATCTGCTGAATTCTTGGCGCGCAGATCCCGGGTGGGCCTAGTAATGAGTTATTATTTGAGTTACTGTTGCCTTTCAATCAGCTCGAACCAGTCTGGCCATTTTCTTCTGATCTCTGGCATCAACAAGGCATTTGCGCCCACAGAACTGAAGCTCACTGGATAGTTTTTCTTTTTCTGACTATTCTCTGTAAACCCTAGAAATTGTTGTGCGTGAAAATCCCAGTAGATCAGCGAATTCTGTAATACTTAGCCTTTCTGTCACCAACAACCAAGCCAGGTTCAAAATCACCTTTCTTCCCCATTCTGATGCTCGGTTTAAACTGCAACAGATTGTCTTGACCATGTCTACATGCTTAAATTTATCGAGTTGCTGCCATGTGATTACAAATTTGCGCTTATGAGCAGTTGGACAGGTGTACCTAATAAAGTGGCTGGTGAGTGTAAATACATTTTCATAAATAATATAAAGGAAAATATTTTATCATGCATTAAAAACATGAGATTTTACAAAACTATCCAAATGTATTCCAATTATAATTATTTTAAAAAGCAACATAATTTTTGCTTCATTACCAAAAACGTTTATTTTTACACTACTTTATAATGATTGCATTTATACAGTAGTGTAAAAATAAACGTTTTTGGTAGTGAAGCAAAATTGATGATGTAATTTATGTAAAAGTTGATGCAAGACATAAAATAAAACATTTCAATGGAAATATACAAATCATAAATAAGTTTTATGTCCTAATATGAACTAAATCTATATAGAATTTTTTAAAAACAAATAATAAACATGACAAATAGTAAAACTTTAATGAAAACTACTACTTCAATGTATTAAAACACACTATAATAGGATAATAATAATCTATAATTAATCTATAATGAATCTAAAAATAACACTGATGACAAAATAATAATTTACTGTATAATATGCTTTTTAACAAACTATTACCATTTGTTTGGGCAAAATATACAGAGAGCTGAAAGATGAATGGACCAACAGTATTATAATGAGTTACCTGCCACCCTTTACCACAGGTGAGGCCTATATACACACACGCGCTCATTAATACACACTACAACCTCCTGTTTTCACTCTGCACCTTTCCCTTTAGACCTCACAATGAGAGATCCTGATTTCTCCCTGAGTTTACAAGAGGTGGAGATAGAGTTGAAAACTGCGTGAGTTCCATTTCTCTAAATGGTCGCTATGAGGTTGTAGGGTGTTCAGGGCTATTGCTCTGTTCATCCCAACTCTAAACCGGACCAGTGCTGTTATTGAGCACAACTAGTAACAATCTAAATTGTATAAGATGTGATTCTGATTGTAGGATTAATGCTGTTTCTGTTTATTAGGAGGTCACAGGCTCTCTGTGCGTATCAGCAACAGATGGTGTGTGTGACCAGGCTTCTCAAAGAGGTCAAGATCCTACGCCAACAGGTGATTGTGCAGTGTCATGTGTAAGAAACAACTGATGATAGGTTGCTGTATTATTCGAAAATTATTGTACACCTGAGGTGGCAATGTACATCTTGAGTGCGCATTGTGTTTTCTTCATAAATCATGAATGAACAGACCAGAGTAAGTTATTTCACTTATACTACGTTTACCACACCTACAGTCATTCTTCAGATGTCCTCCAACAGCTTCTATAGCTGTGTCTCATTTCAGAGGCTGCATCCTCCAAAGGATGTAGACTTCTAAGATAAGTCTTTCAATTCCACACAGGCCAAACCGAGCATTTTAAAATAAGCCAATTAGGGTTGGTTTGATAGACGATGTCATCATTTATCGCAGTTGATCGATAGACAATACAATGCTGAGCCGGCATCGCAATCCTCCACCCCGTGCCCGTTGCAGCAGCAACCCACTCGCGAAAAATACACACTTTAGCCCCTGTTTACACTGATGCATCTTAGGTTTAAAAACCTAGCATTTCTGAAAATGCACATCACATGACCACACACACTCTGTCATGCTTTGCTGCACATGTGCATGTCTGCACGTCGACCAGTTTATTAAGGTTGTACCGCTAGATCGCATCTCACTATGGTTGTTAAACTGGATATTTAATTAATCTTGTTTCTATCTAACGACTCTTCTGTCTTTTGAATCTATCAGGTAACGTGTTACAGCATCAGTATGCTGCTTTAATCTTTCGCTTTCACGCTTGTACGTAGTAATTTTTGAGAAAACCTAAGATACTGTTGGTTGGTTCCTGTGGGTTGTGCACCTTTTTTACCAACCAAGTTTGTAGACGCCATTGTAACAACAGATGCACTGCCTACACTCTCGGAGTCCCGCAGATAAAGTGATTGACAGGTAGTAATTTGTGTGTGACTTAATTTATTTATGATTTGGTTATGGGCAAAACAAAGACCTTGTGGGTCAGGTAGTTGAAACGGTAGTCTAAAAATAATAATTTTTTTTGAATTAATTAATTATTCATAAACAATTAATTCACCGCCACCTACAATGATGTCATCTTCCATCGTAATGTTTCACATTAGACATCGTAGATGCCAAATTGGTTCAACATTGCCCATCCCTAGAGCCATTCTAGCTTATAAAAGATGGATTTCATCAACTTGCAACTGTAACAGTTGCTGTTAATAAGCGGTAATAGAATTTGTAATGTCTTTTTCCAAAATGATTTTACAACTTATTATAAGCAATCTGAAGCCATTCATTTTCCTTTGATCCATACATGTACACATAGAAATCACTTTCGAGAAAGACAATTCATATGTTTTTTGTTTTGTGTTTTAAATGTGTTTAGATATCTAAGTAAAATATCACCTAATTCATACATTTAAAACTGTAATCCGGAGTTTTCTTTTAAAAAACGTCTTGCTGTTATCAGCGCGCAATGAGTCTTGAGATGTTCGAGGTTGTGAAGCATCCAACAGTTGTCCCCTTCATAACCTGGGAAACCAAGTATGCATTTGGAGGCTGCATTTTAAATGAGATTTGTGACGGTGTGTAGACACAAAGCCCTTTGATTGCATCTTTCGGAGGATGCTACCTCTGAAAAGAGACACAGCTTATGTGTAGTACTTGTTTCTTATATATGTTATCCAAAGCCTTTGTTTTGTTTTGAATTTTGACTGTTGTACGCTGTAAAAAAAATTGGCTGAAATCATTCAGTGTTGTGATATGAAAAACCTGGCTGGAACTACTTTAACCAAAGAGCATAGAATCACCTAGAGGCGAATCTCTAGTGCAATTTGGGAAACAGCCACTAGATGGCGGGGCAGCCATTTTCTAATAGAACAACAGCATATTATAAGTTTGTAAAAAAAACTATTAAAAGTGATGATGATTGTGATAGTAAGTGTTGTATTGTTGTATTTCAGGTTGTATCTCAGCTTTAATGCGCTTTTAAAATAAATAAATAAAAAACAAAGCAGTTGCTTGCCATCGCAACAGCAATAAGATCCAATGGACAGCTGATCGCTTTCTTTCCAAAATGGTGGAATCCAGGGCTGCTGCTGGGCGCTGCTGTTGCAATGGAACGTTCTATTGCGTGTCGCCACTTAGCTCTAACTGTGCATTTATTTGAAAATAATTGCACTCTTCAGAATGTTCATCAGCCAATAATAATCAAGCATTCAATAACCTTGTAATAAAAGAGATTTTATAATCATCTTACTAATTATTAGCTGTTGTTTGGTGTTGTATATTAGAGATAGTCACTGTTTCTATGTTTAGTTGCATGTTTGTGTACTATTGCACTTCTATGGCTTTTCAGCTTTCAACAGTACGTGAAGAAGCAGATTGTCTTCATCTCAGGCTGGAACATGAAAAACGAAAACGGCATGACGTAGGTATGTTTCTGCAAGTGCAAATCTATTACATATTTATATTTGTCTGCAAGTTTTAGACGAAAAAAAACTAAGCATTTGTTATTTAATATTATTAATTACTGGATATGATCTTTCCCATTATCCTGTTTCTTTTTTCCTAATTATATTTTAGTGTATTTATTCTATTTAATACTATTATTATTAGGTTTTTTTTTTCATCTGAACAACATTTTCTTAGAAGTTAATAATAATGCTTAATTTGTATCGCATTTTATTCTAATTTTATTATTATTTATCTTTTTTATTCTGAGGCAGGTAATAGTTAACAGTGATAAATACTGCATTTTTTTGTTTGTTTATAGAATTTTTTATAAGTATTTTAGATAGACTGCACATTAAAAAACAGATAGGTGTGTACTGGCAAAAAAAAAAAAAAAAAAAAAAAACGAAACCACTAATAAGCAAATGGTTATTTAACTGCAGAAAACAGGTTTATGATGTACAGGCTGAAGAATGCACAGAAGCTGTTGGACAGTACTGCCACAGACTTAGGTGAGTATTTTTATTAGATATAGCAATGGCTATTTACATTTCTTTTCAGTGCTGAAAAAAAACACATATCAACTTTGACAGTCATGATATCCTTTGGAAGCACCTGACCACTAACAGCCTCAGACTGACTTCTGCTTGTACCTCCAATTATAAGAGCCAGTTGATTTCTAGCCTGTGACTCATAGAACTGCATCATAATGAGTCATAAAGCTGTACTGCCTCAACCATGAGGAATGAAGAAAAACCTATAAAATCGATCCAGTCTATAAAAACAGAGCAAAAGCGGAACAATAATGAGTGCACTAAATTCACTATATAAAGAGGTCCACATGGCCGTTCACTCCAGTAAAACTAAAAAGACATTTATTGAAGTAAGAGGTACAACATAAAGGGAAAGTACACACAGTTTAATGCAGTGTATTATCTTGACTGTAGGTTGTTTGCAAAAAGTAACCAATGGCTTGCGCCAATGTCACAAGTGCTTGATCGTTGACTGTTTTACTTTGTTTGATCTTGAGTCATTAAATATAATACTTTTTAAATGCTTGTATGAATAAACTCAGAGATGGGAAGTAACAAAGTACAAATACTTTACTGTAAGTAGATTTTTTTGGTATCAGTACTTCACTCATTTATCATTTTTCTGACAACTTTTTACTTTTACTCCTCACCTTTAACACAAGTATCTGTAATTTTTACTCCTTACATTTTTAAATTGGTCTTGTTCCTTTTGTTTTAATGTGCTTCACAGTGCGATGTATATTATTTCTCGTCATTGTGCAATTTGAATGCTTTTTTAATACAGTTAATCTATTCTTTGTCATTGCACACCTGCGTGTTGCAGTGCAGTTTTTTCAACCTCATGCTGTAGGCTTGTTGATTTAAGTTTACCATAAGAACGGCTTACGTGGATGAGGAGTCCACGATGTAAACACGTCTGATGTCATGTTTATGCCGGGTAATAAGATGCGTTTTGGCTGATCAGATCACAGGTAAAACAAGAGACGAATTCCTGTTGAAATCTGGCATTTAAAAAGGGTTAAAGTCTTTTGTTCACTTTCTATATATTCCTAAACTGTACTTCTCTGATCTTTCAGTCTAATATCCTAGAAAAAAAAAACTATCAATCATGTGTTTTTTAGTCAATGTTTGTACAGTTATTACTACAGCAGTTAAATTCCTATGAACACGTTATGCAATGTTTCCTACTGTTTTATAGTCTTAACATGTACTAAAGCTTATTATATACTGTTGACTTCATTTCTATTTGCTAGATAGATTGTTAGATAAATATTTTAGAACATCAAAAGTATTTATAATGGGGAATTTAGGAATTAAAATATAATGCAAAGTATCAGAAATTAATTATTTTTAAAAATGATGCAAAAATGTATTAACACTTAACAGCATTAATAACTTTATCTTCATTCATTCATTTTCTTGTCGGCTTAGTCCCTTTATTAATCCAGGGTCACTACAGTGGAATGAACCGCCAACTTATACAGCATATGTTTTACGCAGTGGATGCCCTTCCAGCTCCAACCCATCCCTTGGAAACATCCATACACACTCATTCACACACTACAGACAATTTAGCCTTCCCAATTCACCTGTACTGCATGTTTTTGTACTGTGGGGGAAACCGGAGGACCCAGAGGAAACCCACACAAACACGCAAACTCCACACAGAAACACCAACTGACCCAGCCAAGGCTCGAACCATCACCCTTCTTGCTGTGAGGCGAACGTGCTACCCACTGTGCCACCGTGCAGCCATAACTTTATCTGTTAAATAAATATGCACAATACTCTGAAAACAAACAAAACAAAAAAACAAACAGTGAAATCATATGAGCTGCAAGAGTGTGCCGTTTGAAGAAAATAAAGCAGCTTTAGCATAATGCAAAAATTGTTTGCTAGTCAAATATATTTAGTTTTTTATTTTATAAAAAGAAAAAAAAATGTTTTGGACAAAATTAAGTGTTAAACTTAAGACCTTTATTAGTTATCAGTATATAGGCAGAAGAATTTCGCTTTAGAATATATAAATGAGTACGGCAGCTGTTGTTCTCAAGTTGTTTTGTTTCTAGGTGATGATACACACAGGGCAACTTTTTGAGCAGTGTTGTTGAACAATATTGTAGAGTGATGCTGCTTGGCTAGTTTGCGCATAAAATTGGCAACAAAAGTTTGACAAATATTTTTGAATGATGTTTATATACTCTGTGAAACTAAAACAGGTAGTAGTAATAATTACTTTTTAAGTAAGTACTTATTTTAAGGCGTACTTTTTTACTTTTATTTGAGTATAAAAGTGTAGTCAGTACTTCAACTTTTACCCGAGTCATTTTAAACATATAGTGTATCTGTACTCCTACTTGAGTAAAGGATGTGTACTTTAGCCATTTCTGCATAAAGTGTGATCAATAGACAGGACTTCTTTGTATTTTACAGATGACCAGGAACATTTAAATGCAGAAACACAAGAGCAAGAAACAGGACAGTCCAAACAACCTTTCATCCAAACACCAGAGGGCGCTGAAGGTTGTTGAGGAAACAGCTTCTTTGTTTATTTTAATCTGAATTTTAAGTCTTGACTGATGTATTGTGTTCATTGTAAGTTTTGTACCTTTTATTGCAGGCTTTAGGAAGACTGTTAATTGGCTAATATATATTCATATGTTTTTACTTTTGTTAGTATGTTTATTTTTAATTCTGTCTCAGTTTTTGAATGTCACGTGAGTGATTTCCTGTAGTAAACGTCTCTGGACCAGCTTTAAAAAATACAAAGGACCAGTTTTGAATTTGAAACACACCACACATATTTTATTGGGAAGCTGCGCTTGAAACACTCTCAGAAGAAGGTGTCGTATGCTAACAGATAGGCATCATTGTACAAGTACAATCTGTCATCGGCAGGATTGTAGTTCAGATTGGCTATTCCAGCAGAAACCTTTTCGAAAGGCAAAGAAAGAGAGTTTATCTCTTGACCAGTGGTTGTATCGAAAGCATAAAACACTTCCTCTTGATAAGTATTAACATAACGTGTTGCATAAAGGACTCCACACACCATAAACGTGCTGCTGACTGACCTCTTAAAGAGATGCGTCTTAAATGTGTGTGTGATATTGAGCTCCACCGGGTCCAAGCGACTCAAAACGATGTTACCATGATTTTCAACAGTGGTGTAAATCACCCACACGGCATCTCTGTCAGCCTCCAGGTCGATGTCTGTCCAATCACGACAGCTGTAGTAGCAGAACGGGAACTTGTTATCAATTCCAGCACCATCTAGTTTCATACGCTTGGTTGCTTTTGTTGTAATATTGAAGCTGCAGATTTCAGCGGTGCTGTAGCATTGGTAAAATACAGTATTGTCATACAGTATAGTGCCAGAACCCTGAACAGCATTCTTGTCACTGTAAGACGGTGCAATCGGTTCATCCTTGTAGTTCTTGTTAGCCATGAAGTCTTCATATGAGTTGTACATTCTGATAGTGTGGCCATGCTTGTGTCCACTCACTAGACAGTGTTCCCAATAACGCTCCTTATCTCTTAGTAGAGCATCGCGGCCCCAGGCACCAGAAATATAGGACTTGCTGATGGAATTGAGCTTGGTGACAACTGGAGAACTTATTCTGGTCATGATGCGTTGATGACAAGAACCTGCAAGCAATTTAAGCAACACATTTTAACGTAAATAATGCCAGTGTTAAACACTATCAACATGAAGGCTAAAGAAAGCCAATAATTTGCTTTCCTGAATTATAAAGGTTGGAATGAAATAGTCTTAATTCACTCTAACTGGCTCGTCAACATTTGTAATTTTCACACTCAAATGCTGTATATTTTGTCAGAAACAGATTTGTGAACCTTTCTTTACCATGGCCTTAAAAAGTAAGTTTCTTTACCATGACCATAATAGTAAGGTTTAGAATGACGTCAACTAGGGATTTCGAAATCAGTTTTTTTGCCCTCGAGTCATTTGATTTTGAGCATCCGATACTTCTATAATACATTTTTAAAAGAATAAAGATGAGCAAAGAAAAACATCCAGGATGTTCCTCAAAAAATCGAATATAAAAACAAATAGCACCTCAACTTAAAATACCCGGCAGGCATGTGAACAAAAATAAAACATCAAAGTGCCACAGTGTGCTTTTAGTAATGTGCTTTTAGGAACTTCACTCCTAATGCCTGTTTCACACCGCAAGCACAAGCAGAGGTAGCAGCATGTGCACATTGCATATGGAGAGCAGAAGCTGTGCGCAGGCGTTTGACTTTCACACTTACTGCATTTGCAGCGCGCAGCTCATCGGCAGCTTCTACACAGATCAATCTATCTCTGTCTATTTTATCTAGTTACATATCTATCTATAAATACACTTTTTTCACTTTTTATCTGTACCAAGGCCTGCGGCAACTTTCTCTTATGCTGTTCCCTTAACCGGCAAGTCTTTATTTTACAAATTATATAGATCCTAAAGAGCTGTATGCTTCTCAAGCTCTGAGGAGAGTCATTTATGTCTTTTCAGGTGCACTCGGTCAGAAGGCAATCGTCTCTGATGTTATGTCATTTTGTTTTTGATTGTCAGCATGATGTAGGCCTAAAGTTATTTATACAATATCTTTATATTGATATTTATACATAATCAAACTAGTCAGCAACTTACTAAGAAAAACTAATACTAAAATTGTTTTAAATTTAGTTTCAAGAGTTCCCACTTAGATATGCCTGGCACTTATAGCAGGTTTGGCATGCTGTCCTGGGAGAGAACCCAGAGCTCCCGCCCGGTCTAGAAGCATATCAGGAGAACCGAGATCAGGTAGGTCTCGATCGCTCCCCCTTTAGAAGGGGAGAAAAAAGGAGGAGATGGGGTGGAAGGGGGGATTCTTCCAAAACGAAGATAGAGCAATAAGGAGAAAGGGATCCATTTATATTAAGCTAGGATCATTCTGATTAGATTATTACTGATTACGGATGAGTGGCCAGCGATGCACAATCATATCACGTGCTTTTTCGTGAAGCATATCACGAAATTAGTTTATGAAACTTCACTTTGTAGTTTGGCCGTTTTTAATCGTTTAAGTCCATTTGATTGACTATATAAAAATCAGTGGATATTATCGATGCATTTATTGGATAAAATAGATACTTTTTACTGTCATTCAATGTGTTTTTGGTCATTACCAATGCACTGTCATTTTAATTAAGCGTGAGCAGCACGGCAAGAATAGACCTAGTGACGAAACTGTTTCAGTGACACTCATGCCTTGCGCTGATGCGCTGCTTCTGTGTGCAGTATGAAAGCTCTTATCTGCCAAAGAATACATGTGCTGCTCATGCTTGTGGTGTGAAACAGGCTTAACTCTTGCTTTCATCAGAGTAATAAGTTTCAGAGAACAAAATGTATGTTTTTCTTAATGAAGACTAACATCTTTACCTTGTCAGGTTTGAGCCTGTTTCTGTTCTCATCGAGGACATTTGCATTGGCACTAAAAAATCTCATCAACTTTATAATACCTCCAGACCGCAGACTTACTCGCGCTTTCCGATTCAAGCTGCTTCTGTGTTCTGGTTTGCCGGTGTTGTGCAGAGAAATGAAGCCCTGCCGCAAAATGCACCTTGTCATTCTGTAAAACCAATTTTTTCAACTGAAATGAGTGTAGTTAACTCAAAATTGACTGAAAGTTAATTCTACTCATTTGAAAAGTTTTGAACACAATGTTAAAGATAATGAGTTCATTAAATACCTCATTACCTAAATACCTAATTACAAATTTTAATGGATTAAGTTTACAGTACTCATATAGACTAGTTTCTTTAACTCAATCGGTTTCCTCAAACGGTTGAGTCGCCTTAACTTAATTGGGTTTTACTGTGTAGACTTTAAACAAAATTCAACTCTTTTATTATTATTATTATTATTATTATTGTTATTATTATTATTATTATTATTATTTTAAATTTCAGTTAATAGATGCACATTTTAGAGGGGCTGCACCTCCTAGTACAACACCGGCATTTAACCAATAGCGCCTCTACAACAAGGTGATGTTTCGCTGCACACGTTGCTGTTTCTGTGTGAAGTAAAGAAAGAGGTCTACTCTTTGCCTATGTATGTATATATATATCAGAAGTCAAAATTATTAGCCCCCCTTTGAAGTTTTTTTTTTTTTCTTTTTTAAATATTTTCTAAATGATGTTTAACAGAGCAAGGAAATTTTCACAGTATGTCTGATAATATTTTTTCTCCTGGAGAAAGTCTTACTTGTTTTATTCCAGCAAGAATGAAAGCAGTTTTAAAAGTTTTAAACACCATTTTAAGGACAAATGTCACTTTAAGCTGTATAGAAGCGTCTTGAAAAATATCTAGTCAAATATTATTTATTGTCATCATGACAAAGATAAAATAAAGCAGTTATTAGAAATAATAGAGTTATTAAAACTATTATGTTAAGAAACGTGTTGAAAAAATATTTTCTCTGTTAAACAGAAATTGGAAGAAAAGATAAACAGGGGGTCAATAATTCAGGGGGCCTAATAATTCTGACCTCAACTGTATATATTCGAGACTTGATCAGGTGGTAACGTCAGATTCTGGTCGAGTCTGAAAGCCCATGATCAAGCCCAGTTTCTGATCACAAGATCGAATCTGGACATTCCTAACGACAACCAATGTGCAGTGTGAAAAGTGCTACTCAAAACCCTGCATGAATGTTTCACACTTGTCATTTACTTAAAAGTTGAGTTACAAAACTAGTGTGAAAATCAGTGTATCAATACATTTAATCATGATTAAATGTTAACCATTGTGAAATACAGTGATTTTGTTTACCTACAGTTTAGAATGACCTAACATTGACTACTTCAAGAAAGAGTCAGTAATGCACTTACTTCTAAAATCAGTTGGTATGGTCTTGGAAGTCTGTGCACGATTGTTGAGGTCACGCAACCTTTTCTTCATGGTCTCCAGGTTGAAGAAATCATCTTTGTACATCTTCTGGACATCATGTTTTGTCTTATTTAACTAAAAACAACAGATGCTCTTATTAAACTGTTGTCGTCTTTACTATTAATTATATGAAAGTGACAGTTCACCCAAAAATGCATTTAATCACAATGGTTGCAAACACTTTGTTGAGGATCCTTCTTTAATCATTTGGAAAAGGATAGTAACCGCTAACTATTGACATCCATAGTAGGTAAATAATACTATGAATGAAGTCAATGGCTAACATTTTATATATATATATATATATATATATATATATATATATATATATATATATATATATATTTTAGATAGTTATGTCAAAGACTTTAATTTGTTTGTGATATTTACCTCACTAAGCAGGTCTTGCGTCTCTTTGTTGGGGTTCTGCATGTGTGTTTCAATGACGGATTGATGGATTTCTTCAAGCTCCTGGTTTAGCTGGCGAAGGTGAAGAGCGCTGTACAGTCCACTTTTATAAAGGTAATCAAACGCTTTCAGACGTGCTGTGATGTTCTTAAGAGTGGCTTCCATCATCGGCAGTTCTACATTTGTGGTCCGTATCTGGAAGATAGTTAACTAATGTCACCTTCTCAATCGTACTGAATGCAACTGCCATAAGTCACTAAACAGATTTCTCACCTTTTCCTCAAACTCATCTAAGATCTCCTCACAGACCTGCACTTGTCTTGTGACCTCCATGAACTGAACAGCAGGAAAAGTCCACATTGAGCTGTTTACTTTACACAAACATGAATCAGTCTTCTGTTGACCTGGAACTCTCTCAGCCTTGACAGT